CTTTTCTTTCCACATGTTACATAACTGTATGGTTTATCATCACCTTCATGTATATTAGACTGTTTTACATTATCTAAAGTTACACTTTCCACATGTTACATAACTGTATGGTTTATCATCACCTTCATGTATATTAGATTGTTATACATTATCCAATGTTACACTTTCCTTTCTACATGTCACATAACTGTATGGTTTATCATCACCTTCATGTATATTAGTTTATTTTATGTTATTCAATGTTACACTTTCCTTTCCACATGTTACATAACTGTATGGTTTATCATCACCTTCATGTATATTAGATGATGTTATGTTATTTTCATATAAATTTGTTTTTCCATAAACATCACTGTTTAATTTTGAAACAAATGAGTATATACAATGTAATCTATGTGGCTAGGGCGAAGGGCCCATGAACAATATATACACATTCCCCCCAACAGCAAGTAAACAGAGTGCCATACTGCAAACAACTAGAATTCCACATCAACCATAGGAGGCAAGAAGTACACCAAACTGAACCCAGAATTATGGGGCAGTGCGTGAATCTCAACTCAATCATAAGAACAGGGAAGAAAACCACATGCACCCAGCATTATTTGTAGGATGTGGAAAGTCTGCTCAACAGTAGAAACAGGGTGGTGGTCTTGCAGACACCCATTTCAACAGTGTGCGTTACAACCTTAAAGGTAGCAGGTGTGGGTTAACCCTATCAAGACGGGTACCTAGGCGTCAGAGAGCATGTCATCATATTTGTAGACTTACATTCAAAATTATATTGAACTACTATTTTATGAATGTATGTCAATAAATTTGGTGTCAAATTGTGGATGATAACTCAAATTTCAGTATTATACATTAGTTAATTTCTTAATTTAATAGTAAATATAAAAAATATGGCTAAATATTGATTCTTGTATGTCACACTGGTATGTCACCTTCTGGGTTTACTCAGATTACATTTTATAACACCCCACGATACAATGTCTATAGTTTCATACAAATTATAAGATCAAATTTTCTATATTAACAAGCTAGAATATAAACTAAGAACCGCCTACCTTTTCTATTTCCTGAGATATCATAATATTTATTGAATCCACAATATTGGCTCCACTCACCTTTTCATCATTTAAAAAGGCATATTTATCTGCACCTGCTTTTATGTACCTATAAGTTTAACCAATCAAAAGTTCTAGATTTCCTATAATTCTGTTAGTTACAAGAGAAAAGCTCTTATATTGTTGGAGAGTTTGAATTATTAGAATCAATGCTATTTTATTCATATTAATGAACAGAAATTATATATTTTTTAACCCAAATACAGCATAGTTAGGAAGCCTGGTAAATCACAATAGATTTTTGTGGTACAGTATACTCATTTATTAATTTTTTGGTTATTACTAAAAAATTAACATATATATATATATATATATATATATATATAAAGTCTACAAAATTTATTTTTTTTCAACATCCACATGTGAATTTGGGGAAGGCTTATGACAAGCGTTAGCAAGTATGACTCACGGGTGCAAAAAAGAGCTTCAAAACATCGTAAGTAGTGAAGATCATTTTGAATTATTTTTTATTTTCCAATTATTTTTTATTCATTGTTTTATGTTTTAAGAAAAATAACTGAAAGTTATAATTTTTCTATATTGAAAATGTATTTCTGATAGCTACTTCCTACCACTCACAAGATTAGCTATTCTCGTTCATTTCTGCTCTCTATTTGCAAACTTTTTTACTGTGCATACCACAAGCCTTCCACACTCCCTAGTGCATCACCTCTCCACCAATAGGAACATAGTACACTCATGTGATGCATGTTACTCCCTCTATGCACCTCTACCAAACTATCAGTTCAAAGTTTGGCAGACCACAGAAACACTAGAAGTGAGTGGGGAGGAAGGGTGGGAAGTGGGAGAAGAGGGAAGTACCTATTGGAAATACATTTTCAGTATAGGAAAATTATAACTTCTGATACAGTACTTCCCTCCACTCATATGATTAGGAGTAGGGACCAGTGTGAGGAAAGAACAGATGTACCCCCTGAAAGCATCCAAAGGATACCCCTGTAGATGAGAGAACCAGATCTGAAGAGGGGAACCACACCACTTCCGAGCCAGATATATTCTTCATCTATATGTGGAATGTGTATGAAATCAGGGCGGAAAATGAGAGGAGCACATCCGAGTGAGAGAGAATGCGTTAGGAAAGTGATCCTAACCGGAGAAAGATATAGTAACTCAATCCCACAATAAAAATGGTGGGTAAAGGAGGATGTGTCCCATGGTGTAGTGTGGCTAGGGTGTGACTCTCTAAGTCAACTACATCCAAAACCTTCTCGCAGGTGTCATCATCCATGCGAGGGTAGGATGAGAATCATACCGTCTTCACCTGAAACCCAAGAACCAGGAAATTGAGAACCACTCTGATACCTGGGTATTACACAGGATTAGCTCTGAGCTATAGATTTGAGCATTTGACATCTGGTATCAAAAGGAAGTCTATCACATTCAATCAACTCCTGAAACTGTGAAACAGGTTGAGACCATTCAAAGGGGAATAAAATCCACATAATAAGAGAGAACGAGGGAGAGCCAAAGATAGAACAGGAACAATCTCACATATCCCTGCTGTGACCCACAACACAGGAGGAGGAAATTGAGGGAGGAAGATAGACAACCCTAAACCTGGGTGAGGACTCATGTTGATTGGTTCACTCAAACTATAAAACCAGCCCGCTAGGTACTAACGTCCACACAAGGGTAGGAAGAGGACTCCCAATCGAAGGGATGAACTGATATTTTACATCAAATTGGAGGATATTACATCATCTACACCAGCAAAATACCACTGCCCTACTCTCAACTGAATGGTTATAGTCATCTTATGTGGAACCCATCTAGCAATGTGCCTCCATGATCAACCACCCCAGTGGCTTGTAAGTGGTAAGGACTCCCATACTCCACTAAAAGAAATGGGGGCCCAAGAATGCACTGGATAGCCCGGAGGAATGTTGATACCCAAGACAGTGCAATGGGTGATCATGAAACCCCATTTTGAAAAGCAAACTATACCAATTTATTCAGTTGAGGCATGGCAGGGATTAGCAGCTATCCCCTTCTGCTTTTCCCATGAAGTCCATGGGTGGTACAGTCTGGGATAGGCCAATTTATGAAGCAAATATCATGATGTTATTCACCTACAAGCAATCTTGTGAAACATTCCATCTCAAAGGTGAGCGTGCAAAGCCATGGAAAGGAAAGCACTGGTCAACATGCTGTACAGTGCAGATTTAGAGTTAAAAAATATCTGGTCAGGCACCACTTGTGACCGAGTGGAATCCATGTAATGAAGAATGGGCCCCTGAAAGAAAAGAAAGTATTAATGAGGACTTACTCAGTGTCAGAAGTATAGCCACAGGTGGAAAGTGAAAACTCGAGGTAGCCAAAACTGCAATATGATGTAAGTAATGGGAGATGAAAGTGTTAGGGTTGGTCCACATGCCGTACTGTAGGATTCAATCCAAATGCCAATGAAGATGAGAGGAGAGGGAAAAGGTGAGGTGTCGGATTTGATGAGAGATAACACAGTACAATGTATGGTGGGAAGGGGACAAGGAGGAATAAGCCAACTTGATCAAAAGACAAACCCAACTGGTGAGGGTGAAAGAGGAGAGATCTCTGGATGAAGAGGGTTGCCATGGGATAAAGAGATGGGAATGGGAGCCACGGAAGGAAGCCATGTGGGCAATATAAGAATGAAAGACATGCACAGGACATAGAAGTCTACCTGGATCGAGACATGGGTAGAGATGAGAAACAGAGGGATTGGAAATAGGCAAAAAGGAGTAGTTACCCTCATGACCTGCCGAGGTTTGGGGAGGGAGGTAAGGAATGATCTAGATAAAGCAAAAGATAGGTGGTAAAGTGTGCTTGTTATGTCGATGGTGAACAAGTCAGACCGCCGATGCCCACAGGCCAAAAGGAGAAGGAAATGTGCCTTAAAGGACAGGTGAAACAAAGAACAGTAGGAAATAGGTTCGAACGGAGGTAAAATAAGGGAATGGAGGACCACATTAATATCCCAATCCGGAAGAGCAAGACACCAAAGAGGTCAACAAATCTGGAATAAACAGATTAACATGATAAAGATGGGTAAGAGAAAACCCTGAGGTAATGAGAAAGATGAAAGGTATGGAATAAAGCTATCTGATAACCTGAAATCGAGGAGACTGAAGACTCCCAATCAAAAAGCCATGTCAGAATCTTTGAGACACCAGCAACAGCAGGACGAGCAGCAAAAACTCCTCGAGCCTGGGTCCATGTGCGAAAGACCTTCAACATTCACTGATATGTTTCCATGGGTGGAAGAAGGATGGATGGATTGAGCAAGAAATGGAATTTAAAGGCCCTCTGACAAAACCTGAAGAACCCAAACATTGGTGATAAAAGGATGCCACCAATGAATGAAGGCTGCAAATTGGGCTTCCATTGGACTCGAACCGACCAAGTAGTCAGTGCAACTGTTGGCAGCATACCATGCATCATTGAGAAAAACAACGAGCTGTGGCACCATGAGAAGGAGGGACAGGTAAAGGTTGGGAAGGGGAAGAACGAGAAACCAGAATCGGCACCACACTCAGCTCCGACTGAAATAAACGGGCAACCAGATGGGAAAGAGTAGATTGTTGCTGGACAGATGCCACCTGAGACTCCAAGGACTCCGGGACTGCATCAAAAAGAAAACACAAATCCCAGCTATAAGGAGCAGGTAAATTAGTTCTACATAAAATAGCATCATGACCTTAAAGGTCCCAACCACAGATGAACCACGTTTGTAAAGCCAGAAATAACAAACGGGCCAAAGCAGAGGTGAGGAGGGAGATGTCCCCAGAAAATCCCTCAGGATTTCTGTGAAAAGCCTCCGACAGGAGATGGATTGTGGAAAGGTACATGACGGTAAGACAGCATTTTGAAAATTGGGCATGGGTGATACTAATGGGAAATACGGGGCCGCCCCAAACGTGTAAAACTGAACCCAACAGGTGTTGTTCGAGATATGGATAGTCAGCCCTATGACATGCGAGGGTAGACTGATCCGAAACTTGTGGGAGACGAGGCATACAAACGTCATTGTTGCCCAATTGAGAGGCAAATTGTTCAGCATGAACACAAATGTTGGGGGATAGGGGGAACCAAATAGGGTTAGGAAGTATATTCATGCAGTAATGAAGGATGCGGGTCATAAGATAGAGTAGGAAGGGAGAAAACATTACATACCTGAAAA